CAACAATTCAAAATACCAAGAGTAGAGTGTTATGAAGCATATGTTTAGATAATAAAACTATATGATTTAATATTAAATGAAGGTGTTCATTTTTCCTCCATCATAGCCAAATCCACAGGTGGGAGCTTTATTTGCAGGCATTCGTTAAGGCACAATACGAGTTTAAAACAATAGTTTCAGCATCGGACACCTTTTCGTCCGAGGAAAAACATCGCACAGAAACTATGCTTGAACTTAAATTTTGAAAAACCGTTTTCCATTAAAAAAATGTAATGAAAAATGCTAATTTCTTGATGGTGCTAACAAGTGTATAGAGATTCAATTCCCACGAAAATATTTCTTCATTACAATAAATATCTTATGAACTTCTAAAGGGAATGAAAGTTTTGATATGAAGTGCAAAAATATACAAGAGTTTTAATTTTTCTAGCATTTTTTAAGAAATTGATTGTTGAATCTTGCTTACTGTTGAAAATTGCCTTTACCGCCAATACTAATTTCGTCCTATTTTCATTGAATACGTAATATTAAAAATGCTATCATCATCCAAATCGTAAAATACGAAAATAACTCTGAAGTCAGTTTTTGGAAAATAACTCAAAGTTTTGATATTAGTAAAACTTCCATTTGTTAAATGAAAATCACCGGATCTGTCACAAACCTCCATGGTGTTGGTGTTGAGCTTTTTAACATAATCACAAACCTCGATAAGAAATGGTAAAGAAGAAACGCCTTTGATAAGTCCGCAAACATCAATTTTTTCTAAATTCATAACAGTGTTGTAGTTTCCATCAGCAACCTTTCGCTCAACTCTACAATCAACCTAATGCAGAAGGAAAAATGAGTTTTCTAAATTGGAAAATAATTTTTTCATGAACCTTAGTGCCGGTCAGTTTTCTTTTCAGTGTAAATCCTACATTGAACGCAGGAAGATTTCTTTTGTAGCTTCTTAAGAAGCAGTGGTATTTGCTGATAGTTTTTGGAGATGCCCCGCATTTTAGTTCACTGAATCGAAGATATGTTGTAGAAATAATTAAATATATCAATTGAAAAAATATTATCAACTTCAACAGTGTCATGGCGAATGAAGTAGTTAGGTACTTGATAAACTATACATAAAAACAAAATGATCTTTTAAAAACTTCTTTCAGAAATAATAGAAAATTTATTAGGAAGTTGATTGTTAACTAAAATTACCATTGATACTTATTACCAATAAACTCAAACCTCATAACACGAAATCATGATAATTTTTTCACTATAATTACTTACGTCCTATATTTAGTAAGTATGTAATATTGAAAACGTTATCATCTTTCAAATCGTAAAATATGTCTCTTATTCTGAAATCACTTTTTGGAAAATAACTCAAAGTTTGCATATTTAAGAAACTTGCATTTGTTAAATGAAAATCTCCGGATCTGTCACAAATCTCAATGGTGTTGGTGTTGAGCTTTTTAACATAATCAAATACTTCTTTTAGATATGGTGAAATAGAAGAAGAACTTTTGATAGCTCCGCAAAGATCAATTTTTTTTAAGTTCAAAATAGTGTTGTAGTTACCATCAGCAAACCTTCGCTCAACTCTACAATCAGCCTAATGCAGAAGGAAAAATTTAAACTTCTAAATTAAATATTTTTTTTCATGAACCTTAGTGCCATTCAGTTTTCTCTTCAGTGTAAATCCTACATTGAATGAAGGAAGACTTCTTTTGTAGCTTCTTAAGAAGCAGTAGTATTTACTGATAGTTTTTGGAGATGCTTCGCATTTAAGTTCACTGAATCGAAGATATGTTGTAGAAATATTTAAATATATCAATTGAAAAAGTATGATCAACTTCAAGAGTGTCATGACGAATGAAGTAGTTGCTTGATAATCTGAACTTGAAAAACAAAAATAAATTATCTTCCAAAAACTTCTTTCAGAGATAATAGAAAATTTATTAGGAAGTTGATTGTCAAATAAAACTCATCACACAAATCATGACAATTTTTTTATGCGTATAATTATTTACGTCCTATATTTAATAAGTATGACATGTTAAATACGTTATCATCTTTGGAATCGT